TGGATGGAGCTGGAAAAGATCATGCTTAGTGAGATAAGCCAGAAAGAAAAGGAAAAATACCGGATGGTTTCACTCATAGCAGGAGTATAACGGAACAGGCGAGAAATTAATGACATTTTGTGGGGGTGGAGTGGGGAATGGGATCAAAAACAGTGGGGGGAGGGAAATGCACTGGACTATGGTGATGGCACATGGGTGAGTCAGTGATGGGAAGCCCAAGGGGATTGCAACTGAGATGGAAAAATGCACAAAATGATATAAAAATAAACTATTATAAAATTAAAAAACAAAAAACTCCACAGCCCCTCAGAAACACCCTCTCATGGCAGGGAGCTGTAGCCAGCTGGCCTGCATGAGGGGAGAAATCTCAGCCTGGCCTGATGTGACAGAGTCCAGAGGGGGAGACTTGAAGTGAAAGGTAGGAGAAAAGCTAGAAAGGCAATAAGACCCCTTGTTGAAATGTTTCCCCATTGTATAAAATTTGAAAAGCTGCAGAAAATTTCAAAGGGGGTAGTCTGAGTCCCCACCGGGACAGCCTGGGCTACCTGGGTGCACTGCTCTGGCCACCGTGACATGCATGGTGTGTGCAGTGACAGACAGGGGAGCCCTCTGCTGACATTGCTGAGGTGGATCTAGGGGTGTGCCTCTTGGGCCCCCTCAGGAATGAGGGGCTTTCTCCCCTCTTGCCTGTTAAGCTCATGTGGGTAGAGAAACTAACACAGGTGCCAAGGAAGGACCCCCAGTTAGCAGTGGGCCAGCCGTGGCGGCAGGGGCCGCATCTGTCATTCCCCAGGGAGCCTGAGGGAGCATCTTGGCAGGCACTGGGCTGACCCTGCTCTCCCTTTGAGAGCTGCTTTGCGGACGAATTCCCTCAAGAGGACCTAAGAACTAGTTGGTAACTTGACTCTCTCTTTCTGGATGTCTGTAGTCGACTTTATTTGAGGGGGGGAAGAGGGGGAGCCAGAGGCCCCCTACTTCGTGAAGGGAGCCCTTGAAAAAGTGATCCACAAACTCACCTCGGCTTTGGGGCTGCATTTTACCGCCATCCACTTCTGCTCGGAACTGAAGGGAATCTCTTTCTTTCTCACGTATGAATCTTTAACATTACTCAAGTCCATCTAGGATAATAAAATGGGGTGCTTCAGTGAGTTGTCCCAAACCAGAATCTGTACATAGCTCAGACCACTTGAGTTATTTGTTCTTCAAACCACCCTGGGAAGACAAGGACTTAGGCCTGTAGCTCACAGAGAAAGGACCTTTGTTTCCAAATGTTCAGCCTGGGAAAACTGCGCCTTTTCTCCTTGTCCCAGTTGAATAAACAAAATCCCCCTCCAACCCTCCAGATTTCCACAGGAGGACATGTCCAGTGAAGATGCAGATGGTTCTAAAAAAACCAAACTGCTGGAGCCTGACATTCATTTGCATTTTGATGGCGTCCAGGCACCCAAGCCTCAGTTTCCCCGACTATAAACCAGTTCTAGCCTGTGCGTCTCACTGCCGCAGGTGTTGAAAATGTATTCTTGGGGCAAGAGTCTTTCAGGTACAGAGCCCAGATGGGCAGACAGCACACCTATCTTCAGAGTAGCTGAGGTATTAAAATCTGAGGAGATTAACTAGGCCCGGAGGAGGGTGTACAGGCGCCCTTCCAAAAGAGCTGAGCCCTCACTGGATGACTCCTGGGGGGGCAGTCCCATTTGCAGACAGGGTCTTTGGGACATGGTCAAGGTTATTAGGGAGAGCCTCATCCAGCGAGACTGGGGTCCTCTACGAAGCGGAAAAGGAGGCAGAGAAGGACAGACAGCAGGAGGTGCAGAGGGAGCCAGCCGGCCCACGCGCCCTTTTCCGCTCTGGCCTCCAGCCAGAACTCCTATTGTTCTAACTACCCAGTTGCTGGCACTTTTGTTCAGCAGCTAACGAGTCGAGTAGTAATGGACAGAAGGTAAAGAGCCCCCGTCCGAACGCCTGGACAGCAGTGTGAGTGAGGAGAGACACAGCGCTCGGCTCTGGCCTTCACACCTGCAGAGTACACTTTTCACCTGCAGAGGAAGGGGGTTCTGGAACCTCTGCTCGGGGCTGCCCAGGCAGCTGTGGGAACAGGGCGGGCTGAGACAGCAGGGGTGTGCTCCTGCGAGAAGCGGGTAAGCTGGCCCTTCCCCATTGGCATAGGCGGGCTGGCTTTAAAGGGGGCAGTTTGTTCAATTCTGTATCACTGACAAGCTGGACAGTATTTTCTCCTGGAAAAGGAAGAGATTATGTGGCACCGTCTGAAGTCACCTGCTTACGCGAGTTGAATGAAAGGGTCGTTCTTCTGGCCACTCATTGCTCACCCACCACTGGTCTGGAACTTGCCCCAGGGCCAAGCAGAAAGCAGGGTCCCCTGCCAGGGGAGGGAGGGACAGAAGGACAAAGGACAGTGCAGGGCTTGAGCCACGGGCGAGCAGAGGCATCTACAGACGGGGAAACAGACAAGAACTTGCCCGAGATAGCTGTGTGGGAAGGAGACCGGAGGCCCCAGCCCCAGAGGCGGCAGAGGGAGCGCGGAGGACGGAATGACAGGAACAGGGGTCCACAGGTGGACGCGCGGAGGACGGAATGACAGGAACAGGGGTCCACAGGTCTGACCCACCACCCAGCCTTCCACCTCGGGGCAGGTGGGGGTGCTCGGAAAGGGCTAGCACACGCTCCCAGAATCCACTGAGTGTTTTTAAGGGGAGCCCTCCTTTGGGGGTGCAGTGAAGGACAGCAGGAGTGGTGTTGGGGCCCAGAGGGAGGCTTGTTGCTCTGTCTTCCCAGCACTCCCTTGGGATCTGAGCCATGAGGCTCAGAGGCTTCTCAGAGAATGGCCAGAAAGGGGCCAGACACCTGCAGAACTTCCACAGCCACATCTCTGCTGGGGGCAGGTGCCCCCGGGCAGGGCGGGGCGCTGGGATTTCTCAGGATTACAGAGCTCTCCATCCCTCTGGCACTCGGACGGCGCCAGACTCACCTTCATGGCCAGCGCCATCAGGGCCCCTTCCGTGGGCTGTCCCATCACCGAGTTTTTCCTGATGATAGCATTATTGGCAACGCAGCCTGCCTGAAATGGGGTGGAGGGACAGGTGTCCAGTTAATATGGGGCTGTCTCCTGGGGCCCCCGGGCTTCAGAGACTGGAGCTAGGGGGTGAGTCTGGACAAGATTCCCTCTTGAAGACACACCCACCCCATAATAAGCCCCAGCCACGTTCACTGAATACAGGTCAAGTTGTCCCCACAGCGTTGTGAACAACAGCAGCGAACAGCAGCGAGGAAGGCAGCGAGCATATAACCAGTGGCTGAGTGTGGGGTGACATGAGCGACCCGCAAGTGGTTGGGGTTTCTGTTGGTGATGGCTGTGTGACTGTGAATCCAGACCCACAGAAAGGTAGAAACAGACCCGCACACAGACTGGGGAGCGGGGGGGGGGGGGCCCAGCTCCTTTCTCACGGCCGGGGACCCCGGCACTCACATTACCTCTCTGAGCCCGTTCCTAACCTGCACAACTGAGCTGACCGGGCTGGCCCCCAGGGTTGCTGTGGAGTGAAGTGGCACTAGCAGGGTGGGGGGACCTGGCAGAGTGGGTGCTCTCACAGAGGGAGGCGGTGGGCTCATTCACCAAGGACAGGCTCCCTGAGAGGAGAGGACGCACACAGCATATCATGTGTGTCCAAAGCCCTGGTTGCACGCTCACACCTGGACACGGGGTGACTTCCAGCAGAGCTGAGGGGGAACACAAGTCGCCACCTTGGTCCAGGCCACTGGAATAACATGACCCCTTGGGTGTGACCCAGTTGATCCAGCCGGTCTTTTTCAGCAGCCATCCCCACCAGCTCCATGTTAAACGCGATTTCTACCACGGCACTTGACACTCACCTCCACTAATTTCCCCACTGAGATGTTGGCAAACTCCTTAATGACCTCCTTTGCTGGCAAAAGACACACCGTGCCTTTGCCATTATACCCAGCTCCGCTGACCTGTGGGAAAAGGGGCACAGCAATGGTCACCAGGAGTCGGAAACATGCTGCCCCATTAAGTCTTTACTGGGGATCCATCCCAGGACATAATCCCACCCACAGACCCCACTTCAAGTGTGTGTGAAGGTTGTCCCTGGGGGATTAGAGATTCCTCTGGACACTCTAGATTCAAAAAACACCAGTGGGGTGTTCTATAGCATTTATAGTCAGGCAAGTGAAGCCACAGCATGGAATGTTCTAGAATGGGGTGAGCAAAGTTTTCCTTGGCAATATTTCAGGATAGTCCACACGATCAGCTTCTCAACACTGCTGAAATGATGGACCACGTGAACGGGAAAGGGTGTGTCAAGAAGCACAAAACTCTTCACAAAGGTGGGTACAGCCCACGGGGTGTGTGCTGTTGACCTTGGGCCTGGAGTTTTGTGTAAAATGCAGCAGGTTACAAAGTCTCATCCTGGGCACTTACAGCTGAGCCAATGCACAGGAGAGGGACTGAAAGCAGAGGTGGAGAATTGGGGTTGGTTTATTTGGGGATGTTATGGGCCCACTGTTTTCTAGCTTCTAAATTTGGAGAGGTTATGGGCCCTCTGTTTCCCAGCTTCTAAATATGCTTAGGATTAAAAGATAATTTAAAAACTAGTGATCTTACATGCATCATCTCCCTATTTGTAGTGAGGAGATTGTGCAAGAAACTACATTAGTGGATTCCTAATTGCTAGCTGAGACCGTGCCACATGCTCTCTGGGGTCTCCCACCCCCATAAACTTGCATGGACTCACCTCCGCATGGAGCCCATCAGACGTGACAATCTGGGTGACCGTCATCTCGTTGGCAGTCAGCGTGCCCGTCTTATCAGAACAGACGACATTGCAGCACCCTGGCCCAAGGGGGCATTAGCATTTGTAGGGAAAAGAGGTCAACTCCACCAGCTCTCAGGCTGAGGAAGCACCAGACACCCACTTACTTCCGCTAATAAGAGGTCAGCCAGCTGGTGTCCCTTACCTAGAGTCTCCACGATGGGCAGCTTCTTCACGATGACCCGCTTCTTGGCCATCCGCAGCACTCCCAGAACCAGTGTAACCATGACAACAATGGGAAGCCCCTCTGGGATGGCAGCCACAGCCAAGCTATCGAGAGGTCAGATGGGTGAGCTTTTTTTTTTTTTAATATAATAGTTTATTTTTACACCATTTTTTGCATTTTTCCATCTCAGTTGTAATCCCCTTGGGAGACAGGTGATCTTTAACAAGCACTTAAGGATGACATGACTCTCAACAGAGTCTGCAACACTTTTCCCTGGGGGAGTTGTTCTCTGGTGTCCTCATCTGTTTCCACTCCTAATCCCATGGTGTACCCTTGTCCTTCAACAATCACTGCTCTGAGGCCTTCTTCGTAAGAGGCTGAAGGAACCTGCCTATCAGACACCCAGTGAATTAATCCATTGTTTTGCCTCTCTGAGTGCTTTTGCATACAAGTGTTCTCGCTTATTAAGAGAAAAGCCTTTGGCCTTATGAAAGGAGTTTCCAGAACCAGGCATTAAGTGGGAAGTAGAATTTTTTGGTTCAGAGAGTCCTTTGAAATTTACTTTCTGTTGGTCTAATGCCTTAGCTGCATCTAGTGAGAGACAGAGATGACAGCTGTGCGGTGACACCATGCCTTTGCCTACTGTAGGTCTGTTGGGGGATATGCTTATTTATTACTCCTCTACCTGTCCGTCCCAGAAATGACCCCCTCCTCCTCCCCCATAGCTATAGGTGGCTACATCAGAGAAGACGGGGCTGGGAGCGAGTCAGTGAGTCTCTCTTGGGAGTTGGGGTTGAGAACCTGGGCCCTGGGGCCGGGTATCAATGTGTGACAGATTGTTAAGCGGGATGCTCTCTGCCTTGATTTTGGCCCCAGAACATCAGAGCTGACTGATCCCCATTCCACTCTTTTGAGGCAGATGTTGAGGGCTGATGATTTTCTGCTGACCCCAGGCTGAGGGGGGAAGGCCGAAGACTTGGGGGGCAGACTGGAGACAGACCAGCAAAAGATAGTGCTTTCTGCAGAATTGAGTGGTGAGTGTCACCATGCCACATCCTCTACGCTGCCCCGGCGTGCTGTGCAAATACTTGCTGGCTGAACTGATGGAACAGGAAGCAAACACACAGCCCCACACTGGCGTAGCACGCAGCAAGCACGCAGCACCACTGGATACTAATCAGAGGCCTGGCTGAGCGGGCCCAGTCACCGAAGCCCCGCACAGCTACTGGATGTGATCACACCGAGGGTGCAAGGTGATTGTGAAATCATCCAGGTCATCAATAACATGGTATTTTCTTATCATATCACTTGACCAAACAGTCTGCTTCAGAGTTAATTGAATATTTTTCCTCATTCCTACCCTTCCACTCCAACTCCTTCAGAGTTAAATTGTAAAAAATAATGTACGTCTTAAAATCAAAGCAAACGTAGTATAGGAACGGCCAGCAAGTGCCCTCCTGGGCCTCTATCCAAAGAATGTGGAACTATCAATGCAAATACAACGTTTATGGTAGCACTATATGCTATAGCAGGACCAGGGAAGCAGCCGAAATGTGCACCCACAGATGACCAAGAAGGTCAAGAAGATGTGGTCTGTGTGCACTAGGGGATGCTGTTCACAAGGGAAGGTGAAATGCAGCCAGTCACAGCCACGTGGCAGGAGTTGGGGGAATGACGTGGCGTAAAGCAGGGCAGAATGACAAAGCTGGATATTCACATGGCAGATGACCAGTACGATACTTACAAAAGCTAGTGGGCATTAATAAACCGTGAGGGCTCTGAGGTTATGAGGAGTGGGGAGAAGAAAGGGACAAGGAGATATAAGGGAGGGTGGTGTGAGCAAAGACATTAGCCATCAAATTTTTTTTTAAGATTTATTTATTTATGCATACAGAACTGGGGTATAGGCCAGAGGTGCAGAGGCGGTGAGAGGATTCACCAGAGACAGAGTGGGGAGCAGAACAAGCTGACTGAGGAAGTACCCTGCTGAGGGGAGCAGCGGGCGGGTCAGGAGAGATCTGCTGCACCCTGTGGGTCACCTTCAGGGCGGGGATTGAACTCATGCTGAAGTGGCTTTAGCTTCTCAGTGCTGTGCTTTAACCCGCTGCGCCATCGGGGAGGGCCCTATCCATCAAATTTAAAAAAAAAATAAATGTGTCCAAGCCTCCCTGGTGGCGCAGGGGTTAAAGCCTCAGCACTATGACGCTATCTCCAGCCACTGCAGCGTGAGATGGACCCCCAGGCAAGGGGCTGACCCACCACACAGCAGACCTGTCCTGTCTTCACCCTGCTCCCCTCAGCAGGATATTCCAGTCACTCTGCCTGTTCTGCTCCCCGCTCTGTCTCTGGTGAAACCTTTCACCCCACCCCCCACACTTCTGGTCTACACACCATTCTTGTATACATAAATAAATAAAATACATCTTAAAAAAAATCCAGAGACGTACCACTTTTTACCACCTCAACCACTACCATCCAGATACCAGCAACTAACTTGCTTACCTGGATTATCCAGGATTATTAATTTAAGATAATAAAGATAAATAAGTTATTATATGTGTGTGTGTGTATGTATATATATTGACAAAGGGACAGTCAGGGACAAGTTACGTAAGCGAAGGTCACAGTTTGGTCAAGGACTGAAGGACTGAGCTGGTTATGGTGACAGCAAGTGGCGCCTTTGGGTTTGTGGCTCGGGAGACAAACCTCACTAGACAAACAGTTGCAGAGGGGTCTGCTGGGGACTGACCCTCGTGGGCGGGCAGGGCGTGTCTGTGCACCTACGTGTTTCTCTAATAAAAGATTCACCTGCAAGTGAACAGAGACTGGCAGGACCGGGAAACATGCACGCCTGTGTCCCCCTGACCCTTGTCCAAGGCAGCAAGATCGGGCTTTTGAAAGAACAACCTTCATTTGTTCTGGAGATTTCTCACAGGCTCTGCTGCTGTTTCTGTCTTGATTTGGGGGGTACGAGGAACTTTGATTCTGCTAGAAACTGAAAAACCTTTCAAAGTCACAAGTAAAACTGCAAACTTTATCCTTAACGGCACATTTTCCCCAGGATGAGGGGAACAGAGGAGAAGAAAGGGAAGGATCAGAATGACCTTGGGGAGGTGGGGCCGGAGCCGACAAAGGTGCCTTTTTCATTGTTTACCTGGAAACATGTAGTTGTGTTAGCTCATGGAACTTTCCATGCTTTATAAGATGGGAGTGGAAGCCATCATTATTTGGGGCAGGGTCTTGAGGATGTGGCTTCTGAGTGGTCTCCTTCTGTTGGGGCCTCCAAGGTCCAGGGGTCTCCCTCACTGCCACCCTCACCAGCCTGTGAAGACCTGGCTGCCTGAACACTCTTAATGGAGCCTTAGCCTCTTCCCCCACCCTGCCTCCTGCTGGAGCCCCTTGGGGGAGGCCACAGCACCCAGCTCAGAGCCTGTGTCCCAGACGTCTCCATCAGCACCCCCAGCCAAGTGAAGGAGGCAGAGTCTCAGGCCCACCCAGCCTGGCTGAGGCAGGGCACTGGCCACCTGTGTCCAACGAGCTGTCCCAGGGACACTTCTGTTTCAGGGTGAAGTCTAGGACCCCCTGCTCTAGGGGTCTCCTCTTCCAGATGCCCACGCTGGCCTCCACAGTCCACGGTGCAGCCAGCTGCCCTCTCCGGCCGCTCCCCTCCCTCTCAGCTCTGATACCAGCCCAGTTCACAGCCTGTGACCTGCAGTCTCTCGGCCAAGAACTGCTAACCCTTCACTTTCTCTGCTCCCAAGGAACAGAGGTGCCAGCCTGGACCAGCGGGGATTCTGGTGACCAGATTAAAATCAGGAGCAGAAGGGGTTCCTAGGCTGGCCGTGACCTGCCCCTAACCCACTCTGCCATCTTGTTCTGCTCACTGGGCCCGTCACAGTCCCCGCCCGGCACCACCATCTGAGCCTGCTGAGCCTGGGCCCTCCTCATCTCTCCTGCGCACTCCACAGAGGAAACTGCCCCCACCACCTCTGTGGGGCACGTGCCCCCCAAGCTGCCTTTGGATCTCTCAGCTGTCATTTCCTTTGCAGCAGCAAGTGTAAGTTGTCATTATTAACATTCACTTCAATGGCTGCTTTCTCTCCTCCCTGCCAGCCTGCAAACCTGGCTCTGGCCTGGTCAGCACCAAGGGGCACAGGCGCATGGTACAGATGTGTGACAGCCCTGCAGGGCCCGCAGCCATGATCCAGGAGGGGCTGTCTCCCACTCACGTCTGCCCAGGACACAGAGGCACAGAAGGCTCACAAGCCCACCCAGCACATTTGAACCGGCATTTAACGGAACAGGGACCGGCTCTGGGGCCCACAGTCTTCCAGAAAGACCCAAAGGCAGGCAGAGAGTGACGGGGACAACTTTGTGCGCTTTTGTTCACCTCGTGAGCATCAGCTGGGTGCCCCTGTCTGGCAGACGATATGCTACAGGCAGGCCTCGGCCTGGGGGAGCAGGGTGTAAGCTCCCATACTGTTCCTGCTCCCCGATCACCCCAGCTTCTCTGAGCAGGGTGGTGCCAGTGCCTTACCTGACCCCGATGGTGAACATGCTGAGCAGCGGCTTCCCCTGCAACCAGCCAATGAACATGATCACGCCTGGGGACAGACACATACGTCAGCACACGCCCCCACACGCGTCCACATCCCAAGTTGTTTCGGTCTCACATCCTCAAAGAGCTCGCAGGAGCGCACACACCCAGGGCAAGGAGTAACTCAAGTCTAGGCTCTGCACTCTCCTCTTTCTGAGGAAGCTACTTTCACACCTACAAGACTCACTGACTTGACTGGCTCCACCAAGGAGCTGGTTTGCTCAGGTCAAAGCAACAGGCAACCCCTGGATTTGGGATGTTTTCTGAGGCGTGGGGATGACGACAAAAACACGTCTCCCCAGCTGAGGTGCCCACGACGGCTGCTCCCAGGACGGGCAGATGGGCCACTGTTCCTGAAAGGTTTCCCCCTGCAGAGTCACAACTCAATATGGTCCCTGTGCCGGCTTCTCCACCAACCATGAAGAAGCACCAGGCACTGTGCTGGGCACGGACAGCGTCTGCTACAGCTGGGCCCTGGGGGCCAAGAAGTGCACCCATGAAAGTTAACGAGAGGTCCTGGCAGGGGGAGAGTTCTGGGGCTGCCAGGCATGGCCTGTTTCCTCCTCTGTAAAGTGGGGGTAGTGACTTTGTCTTGACCTAGGAGTTGTTTCAGGCTTAAGATGTGACAATCCACCAGGCGTGCTGAGCCCAGCGCCTGGCCCGCAGCAAGCGCCAGTTGCCAGCTGTGGTTACTGGGACCGACAGCGGAAGAGGGGACAGGGAAGGTGAGCAGCTGGGCGGGCTGCCTACTGACACCTCTTGGAAAATTTGCTCAAGAGCATCAGCTCCGGGAGTGTCCTTATGGAATGGGGAGCAGCACAAATTTTGTGTAGTCGTGGTGTGTGTGTGTGTACATGTGTGTCCTTCTGTATTTGCATGTGGGATGTCCACAGCATCTGATCTGTTAGGCTAACTTTCCTACCATAATTAGCTACAAAACTCATCTAAAGGAGCGCAGCTGCAGGATATTATGAGAATCTCTACCTACCCTCCACCTGAGTTACTCCATGCGTGTGTGCGTGCGTGTGTGTGTGTGTGAGCACGCTCCCATGAGCTCTACCCCAGTCCTCCACCTAAGCACCAGGATTCTGCTGCTGTGACCTGACTTGGCAGGTTAAGCCAAAGCCACTGTCACTGCTGCTCCAGGACATACTCGAGCAGGGAGGGAAGGGGAAGAGGTTGTAGAGCTACTTACTAGATCAGTAGTAAACCTGTAATTTGGCTAACTCTGAGCAGTAAAACAAAAGCTGAAATCTGGGAGACCAGAAACGGGCATGTTGGAGAGGCGAGGCCAGGGAGGAAAGGAGGACGGCACCTGTCCCCAGAACAAGGCGTTGCGAGCCTTTTGCAGGCACACCCTGGAGACCACGGTGCTCATTCAGCAACTCTTATAAGCTATAACAGAGTGGGGGACTGTCCATGGCTTTGAATAAGCCCTTCCCTCTGTCTGAAATTTCAAATCCTGCCCCCCCTCTCTTTTTTAACCTGCTATACTCCTATGCACCCTGCAAGACCCAGTATAATGTCACTTCCTCCTTGGAACCTTCCCATCTCGCCCAAGCAAGGCTGACAGCCAACTTTACGTTCGTTTTCCCCCATATCTGCCCAGGGCCCTTCCTCACCTTGGTGCCCCTAGAACCTAGCGTAGATTCTAGCTGTCATTAACTGCTAACTAAATGTTCCTGTAATAACTCATTCTCTCAACAAGTGTTCATTGAGAAATCTACTATGGGCTAGTCAGTAGTTGATCCTGAAGGCTGGGCTTGAAGAACACAGAACCAAAACCAGAGCCAGAGACTCAGAAAGGAAAAGGTAGAGGGCCCAGGATGTTCAGGATACGACCTGCAATATCATGTTGATATTTCTGGATGTATTGCCAAAGGGCAGAGGGCATAAGCCTAAATGCAGCCTACTGACTAGCACAGAAATAGAGCTGAACTACATTTCCCAGTCTCCCTTGTTAGTCAGGTAGGCCATGTGACTCCATTCTGGCCAATAGCGTGTGGGCAAGTGATGATTTCACTTCCTGGTTATGCCTTAAAATTTTCCTACACAAGCCTTTCTGGTCTCTCTTCCCCACTTGCTGGTCAAATAGAATTATGGAACCCCCTCCAAAGATCTGGAAGAAGGGAGAATCAAAAATACTGTCGGGGCCTTGGTCCCTGAGTGTGTGTTTGGAGGAGAGCTATTCAGGAAAGTGACCTGACAGGAACATGCTCACGGACTGAGGTGTGAGCAAGAAATAGCCTTAATCACGTCAAACCATTAAACTGTAGGGGCCACTTGTTACGGCTCTGACTAATACAGAAATCTCATGTCGCTGTCACAGAACCTCAGACCCCAACTCCCACCCCTCACCCAGACCAGCAAGACAGCTGGAAAACAGCAACTTAGGACCAGTCAGACACCTCCCCACTCACCAATTATGCCAAAGGAGAAAAGTGTCAGTTGTTTCCCCAGCTTGTCCATGCTCTTTTGCAGAGGAGTTTTAGGTGTCTGAGAGGATAAGAAAATGGTTTTGTGAGCCAAGACCCCAGTGGAGCCCCCAGCTTCTACATCTTGGTTTTTATGTATCAGCTGAATGATGACTAACAGGGTCTCGTGTTGTACTTGTCAATGCCTGTAGGGTGTAACCTGACAAAATTCTAATAAAAGTTCCAAAAGTAAAGTTTTTAAAAAGAGCACTCATGGGCCGTCCTTGGTGGCACAAGGGGTTAAGTTGTAGCACTAGGAAGCTACCTGCAGCCACTGCAGCACAAGTATCCCCAGCCCCAGAGCTGACTCACATGCGTAGCAGACCTCTCCTGACCTGCCCGCTGCTCCCCTCAGCAGTGTATTTCTGTTGATCTGCCTGATCTGCTCCCCACTCTGTCTCTGGTGAATCCTCTCATCTCCCCCCAACACATCTGGCCTGTACCCCAGTTCTTTACTGCATAAAAAAATCTTTTTGAAAAAAGTGCATTCACATTAACCACCAGATTCTTGTTTTTGAGACAGCTGAGCAGGCTGAGAGAGATCACGAGCCTGGGATGATCTCAAACACTAGCCCACAAAAAACCCAAGTCCCCTCGCCCCACGTCCTTACCTCTTCAGCCTGCATCATCTTAAACACTTCTCCAAACTGAGACCTCTCTCCTGTTCCAATCACAACCCCCTGTGTTTGGGAGAGAGACGTATGAGAGAGTGTGGGCACCTGAGGGGCTTGGGCACCAGACCCCTGAGAGCCCAGGCTCACCTGCCCTGTCCCATACTGCACCAGAGTCCCCATGAAGACGATGTTGCTCAGGGTGGTGAGGTCCCCCCCACCTGTCAATGGGCTGTCCGTTTTGCTACAGGGCTCAGCTTCTCCCGTGAAGCTGGACTCATCCACCAAGAGGTCCGTGACCTAGGAGAGCAAAGGGAGAGAGCAGTGGGGCTGTCCCCTGCTCCTGGGAAGCGGTGGTGAATCCAGGATGGTCTCTGGCACCTTAAAGTCACTTGCCCATGGAGAGCAAAGACGGGGGGAGCAGGCGTCACGCATCAGAACATGGCCTGAGGTGCCACCTGGAACTGGGACAGCTTCGAACTTATGGACCTTCTTGAAAAACATGGAATTCCCAGGGCTTCTCTTAACATTTTTGTAAATTGTAGGTGATGTTAAGGAAAAATGTAGGCAGGCCCTCCCTGGTGATGCAACGGGTTAAAGCTCAGCCCTGCAAAGGTAGCCACAGATGCTCAGTGCGAGTTCGATTCCCGGCCAGGGAGGTGACTGACCCACATGGTGCAGCAGACCTCTCCTGTCTCGCCTGCTGCAGTATACTTCATTGATCTGCCTTTTCTGCCCCTCACTCTGTCTCTGGTGAGTCCTCTCACCTCCCCTGCACCTCTCACCTATACCCCAGTTCTGTAAATAAATCTCATAAATAAATCTGAAAAAAGAACAAATATAGTCAACGAGGAGTTTATAAATGCCTGTCAAATAACTTGTGCCTTTGACCTAACCTTCCATATCTCCCCTACCCCCCACCTGGAAATTTTGCCCAATCTGTGTGTTTGGAACACCAGAGCCTAGAGATTCAATGTCAGCTACACCCAGATACGCATTCAGACACATGCCAGAAACACACACACCAGAGCCATATACAGACACAGGTTGTTTTATTCTCATTCTCTCCCTCCTGAGGACAGGCTCAGGGAGGTGCTCCCATTTCTAGAGTGCCTACCATGTGGCAGGCTTGGCACTGAGTGCTTGGCAGGGCTTATTTCTTAATCTTCACACCCTCCAGGAGGGAGGTGTTATTTCCCCCATTGTGAAACTGAGGTACAAAGCGATTGCTCAAGATTAAAAGCTAGTTAGATGCAAAGCTGAGCTTTGAAACAGAGGCTCTGGTTCCAGATACTGCACTCTTAAACATTTTGCAAAATTGACCAGATTTGTAGCTAACACTCAAGGGTGAGTCTCCTGGGGCCAGCACTGTGCCAGATGCTGTTGAGGACATAAGGATGGGACCCATCCTGCAGGACCTTGTCACGTAAGCCTAGGTGATGAGCTTGAAGAAAAAGCCTCTTTCTTACTAACTCTGAAAAGAACTTGTAGATCTGTGTTCTCAAACAGGAGCCTGTGTGCTCTTTATAATTTCAAATATTTAAAATTCAATACCTATCTTTTTAGAATCTTCATACTGCCAGGGGATCCCTGTCCCCAAGGATAATAGGGGCTCCTGTTCACCCACAGCCCCAGGCGGCAGCAGAAATCAGTAGCCACTTGCTAGAGAGAGAGCCATCTAATGGGGTGTGATAGAGATGTCAATGAGCTGTGCTTAACTGGAAAATATGGCTCAGGTTCTGGAAGCACATGGAGTTGGACCTAACTCTACATCTGTTTACTTTTCAGTAATGTTGCAATAAACATGACAAGTTAACACTGGGAAGGAACCCCCTCCATTGACTGAAAGTGAGAGACGCAATCAGAGCAATCTGATGTTCTAATCAAATCTCACCCCCAGCAGAAGGGTGGGGCATGGGAAACAGGAGGCTGGCATTGGGGCGATGAGCTGGAAAAGTGGGAGATGGGCAATGCCCTCAGGCAGAGCAGTGGAGCCAGTCACCCTCTAGGGAGTGAGGGTGGGAACGATGGGCGCTGCCCTGGGTGCTGAAGTCACAATGGTGGAGAGCTGTTCCTTGTCCTCAGGGAGCTCTGAATGGAAGAGGGGACTTAACCAGATGAGAGGGCACAGCCGTCTGTGGACACACAGGTGGGGGCAGCTTGACTGGAGCGAACACTTGTGCAAGGTGTGGGTGGAGGGTGAAAAGTAACGAGGAGCATGAAAAGTTGAGTAGAGAAGGAAAGGCTGCGGTGAGATAAGAAGTGGGCCATCTGCATTAGGAGGAAGCAGCTACAGTCCTGCAGAGGTAATGAGGCTCAGTGTGGGGGGCAAGGGGTAGCAGAGCATGGGGGGAGCAGCTGGCAGTACAAGAAGAGAGTTGTCAGCCAGTGGGGCCCGCTGGGCACACGTGGAAGTAGAAAGTGTCAGACCTGATCCTGATTTTTTTTTTCCACTAAATTCTGTTTGGGGTCGCAAGCATCCAAGAGGTCAAGGCTGCGCGAAGACCCCTCCCTTCCGAGCCAAGACACGAGTCTTAACACTTCCTCAAATTTTCTTGTTCTGTTTTTCATTTTAGTCTTTACACTTCTACAAGACTATCTGAGTGTTCCTACTGCCTTTTCACCCCTGGTTGGCTCAAAAGCTGCTGTTTCCAGGAAGCCTTCTGCGACTGCATTGAGCTAGGCAAGTTTTTCCTGTGAGGGAAATCTAGAACTCCTTCCCTCATGCTCCCACCATGATTTGTCTCTTATCTAGGCTATAACTGCAGGAACACATGGCCTATTTCCTCCCCTGCATCCTAGTACCTAAGTACAGTTCCTGGCACATAGTAGGTGCTCAAGAAATACTTCATGAAAGAATGAGTGATAAGGTTTGGGGAGTAGGGCAAGGCAGAGGGGGGGACCTGAAGCAGGAAGGGTCACTTACTTCAAGGGCTTTCCTGAGCCTGTTTCCTGGACCTAAATGGCTTTTCATATGTATAGAAAGCTCTTCTGATCTCCAAGCTTAATGCTTGATAAAATAGTCCACTGTGAATAAACAAAGCTATTTGATTGTTCCACGGAATTGCAAAACACTATCCAGCAGGCTTACGGCTGGAGGCAGTGGTGGTGTTCGTGACCAGGGACACTTGAATTTCATATAAACAGGAAGAAAATGAGCTCAAGGAGCCAGGGAGTTATTTGGAGTTTTAAAAGAATTGTCTTAAAGAGCTGTGGTCGAGGCTGGAACGATAATTCCATTATGGCAATATACGGTGCCAAGATGCTTAATCTACGCAAGAACCCACTGGAGTGGAAATAAAAACTACCCCTCTGACAGGAGAGGCGGGAAGGCCCAGAGGGGCAGTCCTCTCCTCAGAGTCAACCATGGCACTGCAGGTGGACACTGGAAACTCAGGCCTCGGATGCCTCTGACTGCCAGCACGTGACCCCTCCTTGCTGCCAGGCTCTGAATTCTTTGCATCAGTGAAGTCACTTCATCCTTACAAGCCCCTGTGGGCACCATCATCCTGCCTATTACAGGCGAGGCAGTGCAGGAACAGAGAGGTTAAGTAACCTGCTCCAGGTCACACAGCTAAACAACAGATCCAGGCCAACTCCCAGGCCCAGGGCACCAGCCACCTTGCTGCACTGCCCCTGCAAGACACAGGTAGTGGGCTGTGTCCTCCGTACTGGCCGCCCAGCATCTGGACCCCACCCTGCACGTGGGAATGCTGTGTTGGGAAACTCACACTGAAGCCTCCTGTTTCCTTGTGGGTGGGGCTTGGTCACTGAACAAGGAGCCCTCTGAGGGGATCCATGTGCGTGGACTCGGGGTGCGAGCTCAGTGCTGCCTCTGGGAGAAGTGGACAGGGCGGTATTTATACTGGCACAGGAGGGGCCCCCAGGAGCCTGGGAGTGATTGACCCTCTGCTCACCAGGCCTTAGCCTGGCCTTGAGGTGGACAGTCAGGACAGAGGGGCCTGGAGCCTGGGTGTCTACACAGAAGACGGCCTCTGGCCCTGCTTCTAGTGCAAAGACCTGTTGCGAATACAGGTCAGGGGCAGGGTGCCTCTCTCTACCTGACCCCTCCACCTCTCCGCCTCCCCTGACCCCTCTACCACCCAGGCCCCACCTTCTACTGATCCTACAATTCCTGAGAATGTGGAAATCAGTAAGGCAGGTGTGCTAAATCCTTTATAACTGAAAGCTTTGAAGGACTCTTAAGCAGTCTTGGAAGGGATCATGAAATAGATTAGCCCCGTCACAGAGCTCTCTGCCCTTGATTCAACCTGTTTTCAAGAATCCGTGATCAGGAGACCCTCAGGGACTGTCCTGTAGAGCAGGGATGCCCGAGAGCTATGAAGGTCAGGGAAAGCGCTTGCCCCAAATGTCCCCCCTCCACCCCCACCTATAAGCCGGAGCCCTAGTTTCTATGTGTGTCACCTGCTTCCCTCCTGGGCACTAAGCAATCTCATCTCACCTCTTGCCAGCAGCCCTGTGGCTGTCTCTCACAGCCGCTCCCATTCCCCATCCTGCCCTCGCTGAGTTTTCTGCACAGGCCTGGCAGTGAGCGGGTCCCCAAACTCAACCTTGCTAGGCCTGGCCTGAAATGAGAACTCATTCGTGAAACAGACCGCAGGGCATCCGGCTAAATCCAGCCTCCCCACTTGTCTGTGTGCCTGGATGTGGGCACAGGAGCCGGGAGCCGCGGGCCTTCCCTCCCTTCCCTGCCCCGGGTCCGGGATGCTGCTCACCTCGGTGAGCCGGATGTCTGCTGGGATCCGGTCTCCAATCGAGAGAGACACGATGTCGCCGGGAACCAAGTCTCGTGCAAGCAGGTGCTGGAGTTTTCCATCTCGTATGCTGCGTTTGAAATGGCACAAAAGCAAAAGCGCCCCCATTCGCACCCCGTCTTCATGCCGCTGGAAGCATTTGAGCAAAGGTGACTGAAACCCACTTAATCTTTCAGTGATGGATGAGCTCTGTGCCTTTATGGTTTCACTGCCTTCTAAGGCCAAGTAGCCTAAGTAAAAAGAGGAAATGTGTGGTTTCTAGAAGCCCTGGGCCACATCTGAAAAGTGGGGCGACGATTGTTTACCCTGCCTGGAAACAAGGCCAGGATGCCTAGAAGCGCCTCGGTGGCTCGGAGACTTCGTCAGCAGACCTGGCAGCGAGCAGCAATCCTCAGAAAACACACACCCCTCGGGCCTGCAGCACCCCACAGAGCCAGGAGGAGCACTCAAGGGCCCGGGGAGTCCGGCCCAGCTTCCCTCAGCCCAAGGTGTTCCTGATGGTTGTGAGCCCTCAGACACGGGGCAGGGTTCGTCGGGCACACAGGCTCCAGCGGGAATCCCCTGCCCTATCACCTGCATGCGGCATGGCCTCCCCTCTGGCCTTCAAGCCTGCTGCACACGGCAGCCAGGAGGTTGCCAAACCCCAGATCACCTCCCCCTATTCCAAACCAACTGCAGGCTCTCCAGGACCTCGGAGTGGAAGCCAGAGGCCCTGCTAAGGCCCTCTGGGCCCGGGCCCACCTCCATTCCCTCTCACATCTCTTGTCTCCCATCCCATCAGCCCTTGAACACATCCAGCTTGCTCTAGTCTCAAGGACTCTGCTGACTTGAAAGCTGGAGACATTTCCTTCCTCCTGTGAACAGACTTCGATCTTGTTCTGATAGCCACCCCCTCTCTACAATTATGTGAGGGGGGTTCCCGAGTAAGACCAGGGTGACCCCAACCCTGCCTGTTGCTGGTTTGGGCACAAGCACTTTCTGCCACACTAGTCTTGGAGACATGAGTGGAGAACTGCTAGGGACTCCTAAGAGACACAGACACACACAGACCACACCCTTCTAGTATATGTTTTCATGCTTGCTGTGATGTCTGGCGCTGTGGCACCTTTCTTGGCACCATGAGGTACCAGCCTGAGAACAGCATCAACAAGTTGAGGATGGCAATGTAAAGAAATGAAAGGACTAGGTCCCTGGTGCCCTTTGATGAACTCACCCCACCGTCCCCCGCCTCACACCCCTTGTCATGAGTCAAGACAGTTCTTTGTGGCTTGTGCAGCTGACTCTTCTGATCTTTATAAAGAAGATTGCTGATCAGATATATACCTTCCTGTTCCTTCAGCTCTTCCCAGAGCTGGTGCCTTCCCTTTTCCAGGCTTTCTCTTTCTTTAAATGTCAGTTCCTTCTTAAATGTCAGACCAGGGTGCTCTGATTATCAGCTAGTTAAAGTTGTCCCTACCTTTCCACAGCTGCAATTGTATCTCTGAGAGTTTTTGTGGCTTTGGATTTCAGAGAGGTTTTTTGGCTTTGCTATGCCTGGAACATCCCCAAATCCTTTCACTTTTTTACTTAATTATCTGCCTTCCCAAGTAGAAACATGAGTGCCCTAAAAACTATGGCCTTCCCATCCTGTTCACCTGAGTGACCTTGAACTCTTTCTCCTGACATGAAGTAGGGGCTCAATAAATATTTAATGGCTGTAAAGGACTGAGGTGACTTCGGAGAATTCACATGGGGGTATTTCTCAAAAGGGGTAAAATGGGTTTTGGAGACACGAGAGGGGGCTTTCTGTTTTCATTGTCTTTCATCTCCATCAGGATGCCAGCCTCCAGTATTCTTGAAAATAAAATGGTCTTTTAGAAGTGACTTCTGGGGACATCAATAATGCATATAGCTCACCTGGAAGGCCAAGACTTGATATTTAAACTTAAGATACAATCATCAAACAACATGAATCATGGATGCTTTGGGCTATGCATCTGATTACGTCACATATCTGGATTTCTGACAGGCTTACACATCTACCAGTCAACCCAGATCTTCTCTGCCCATTAGCCTTTCCAGAACTCTCACTAATGCTTTCATCATCTCTTTTTGTCTGTTATTCTCTAGCCTCTCCCCCCCTCCCCCACAGAGCCATGTTGCTGATTTGTAGAAAGGCAAGAATATCTTGCCAGATCTTTCTGTCCCCAGTTCTGTGGCTCGACTATGCCATGTCTCTCCAAACAGATGATGAGGCTTGTCTCAAGCACTGTGCCTCAGAAAATAAAAGACTTGTCCCAAACTGAAACGCTTCCAAAGCACCTCAGTTCCTGGGAAGTTTCCATCCCTTTCTTTTGAGTAGCATGAGACATGGACAAGACCCATGACCCTGAAAGGAACTCAATCCATGCCAGTGGGGCTCAGTGCGAAGATTTTGACCTTTTGTGAAATCATTTCATTTTTACAAAGAGGATAAATTAATGGGTTCCGGTATATTAATAATTAAATTGAGAAAAACCCAGGGCTAAAGCATCTTCCCTCCTAGTGTGCTGGCTTCCTCTCCCACTGGCAAAGATCCTTCCAGATGAGCTAGGATTTAGTTCGCCAGTATGGCTGTCAGTCTTTAAATTCTTAATTTTATTTACTCTAAATTTAATTTTATTTATCTAAATGGGATATTAAGCCAAATTTAACTTTAGATTAAAGAAAATTAAGAATTCAATTCCTCAGCTTCCCTAGCTATATCTTCTCCCGTTAGTATAGCCATAATGGGCAGCACAGATAGAAAATTCCAGAAAGTTCTATTGCATCACACTACACTAAATAAACAGAAATACCATGAGGTATCAGCAGATGGTCTTGTCTTCACTTTTTTCTCTTTAAACATCTTTGGTCATGACAATATGATACCAAAAAGTGACATACTGGGGGCAGGAAAGGGCGGGGAATATGTTTCCTGGTTCTTTCTCATGTCATCCCACCTTTGACTAACCCAATGCCTGGCCTTGTTCAGCCCTCAATCTCACTTTCTTGAGTCTCCTTGCAAGACTCCTGAGGCAAAGGCACTATCTTGTGTCTAGATCATTTATTCCACAAACCACCTCTTCCTTTCCTGCCACCCAAGACCACCAGGCCAGGAAGGTTGGCCACTGACCAGATTAGAAACCCTGGCTAGACACTGCTGAGGAACAGAGAAGCCCCACACATGCCCAAGGTCACACAGCACTGCACTGGCAGGGCACACACCAGGTCTCCTGAGCACCAGCAAGAGCCGGTTCTCCTAGATCATACTGCACAGGATACAAATGTCCCCAAAGTCACCAATCTACTGGCTCCTCCATAGTCACAAAGCCCCAGGGGGTCCCTGACTCACCAGTTACATTCAGGAGGAACCAGCTTGGTCAGCTCTTCCAGAGATTTCTCTGACCTGTACTCCTGGCAAGAAAAACAGCAAACATCATGCATAAAGGCAGGAACCTCACAAAGCTGCCGTCCTGCCTGGGGCACCCAAACCCACTGGAGGGGCCTCAGGAAGTAAATATACACACCTGGATGAAAGCCACAGTGACCACGATCAGCACGGCCTGGGGAGCAAACAGAGGGGGCGTTAACACCCAGCAGCTTTCTCAGTGGATTTCCTTTCTTCTTCCCAAGTAAATACACCATGCAGAGATTTGGGACAGAGGTCAGCCCCAAGAAAAAAGCAGAGAACCCCCCAAGTCTATCACCCCGCCCAGAGGGTCACGCTGTGGGGTGCCTGTCTGAATCTGCCTGCACAGACATGTTGCAACAAGGGTTATGTCGCACAGACATATTCTTTTACAAACTGCCTGGGTGCTCAACAGCATGTTGTGAACATTGCTCCACATCAGGAGATGCAGGTGGTGCCTGGGCCCTGGGCCATGAGCCTGCCCTGGCCTGGCAAGCATATGGCAGACGGAGAGCAGCAGGAAGAGAGCTGACGGGCGTCCGGCAGAAGCCAGCTGTAAAGGCCGCTCGGTGTGGGGCGCCATCCACGGGGACTCCTTGGATGAGACAGAGCCAGAGAGACAGGAACGAGACGGGGTGGTGGGAGATTGCGGGGACGGGGAGAGCGCCAAGAGAACAACTTTAACGGGAATTGGGATTTTAGAAAACACTTCAGAACTGGTGGAAGGTGGTGGTTGCACAGTACTGTGAAAATACTGAGCACCACGAAATAATTTCCTTTGAATGGTTAATTTTTTATCATGTAACTTTCAGTGAAATTGGAAAATGCTTTGTATCGGAGCTCCGCGGTTATGGGGTCATGGCTGACGGGCAGTTAGTGACTCTCTGTGGCGCTTGCACTGCCAGGACTGAGCAGAGCCCTCCAGGGGGCACAGGAAAGCAACTTTCTGTGCACTGTTCCCCAGCAGCAGCCACCCGGGCCAGGCAGAAGGCAGCAGCAGAGAGGACCGCTGTCCTTGCTGTCTGCTGACCCGTCAGCCGCGTGGCTTCCTTCCTGCTGTGTTTTCCGCCTTTATCTTTATCCTCTCTAGCCAAACTCTATTTTTTTTTATAATAGTTTATTTTTACATCATTTTGTGCCTTTTCCCATCTCAATTGTAATCCCCGTGGGCTTCCCATCACCACATCACCCGTGTGCCATCACCACGTTCCAGTGCACTTAATTTTGATCCAATTCCCCACTCTGCCCCCATAAAATGTCCCAGGTATATTCAGGTTCATTATTATTTCCTCTCCCTGGTCCTTTATGCTCCTGCTATGAGTGAAATCACCTGGTATTTTTCTTTATCTTTCTGGCTTATCTCAGTAAGCCTGATCCCTTTCAGCTCCATCCATGTTGCTGCAAAAGGCATGTGTTTATCTTTTTGATCGCTGAGTAATATTCCATTGTGTATATGTGCCACATCTTTTTAATCCAGGCATCTACTTTTGGGCATTTGGGTTGATTCCATGTCTAGCCAAGCTCTTTCCCCCTCGCCTACTGAAAATAAGCAGACCGCAGGCCCCTCGGGGCTGGCCCAGGCCCCCGCACGGACACTCACCAGGGCAATACTGACAGCATCCTCATACTCTCTGGTGAGCACGCTCACCAGGGCCGAGGCCAGCAGCAGCAGGATCAGTGGGTTCTTAAACTGAAAAAGGCGAGACAGGGAGGTTCTCCTTTGACGTCACCCCAAGGTCCAGGCCTCCTCTGCACTTGCTTCTAGGTGGGCACTAAGTGTGGGGGCTGGGGAGGAAGGCGGCCTCTGTGCCAAGATCCTACCCCACCACAAGCCCACAGCCGAAGTTTCAGGGACACCCGCATCTTAGGGTCACCGTGACACACCATCACTGTCGAGACACTGGTCAGTCCTGCACTGGAATTCCTCGCCTCACCTCACTATGTCTCCAAGATGCTCCAGGCAGGACCCACCCTCCTGATGGGATGTGACATTAACTGCAAGCGTCATCTTTGAGTCTGGGGTGGGGGCCGGCTCTGCACCAGGCTCGAGGTGGCGCACCCAGGGGCTGGTGGCGTCTGTCTGTCTCTCTTACAGTTTTGAGACTTTTTCCTAATGAAAGGTCCAAAAGGGCCATGGGCAGAGAAGTGCCCATGGCTGCGACAATGGAGCTGAGTGGGCTGGGAGCAGCTTTTGGGGACCAGGGGCGGGAGCACCAGCACCGGGGGGACACCCTTCTCTGGTCATCCAGGGAGGGGGGATAGAGTGGAGAGCAGAGGGATATCGGGGCTCGGGAAGCCCCATGAGAGAGTAACCATGTCCACAGGCTGGGGGGCTTCAAGCAATGGAGACCAGTTCCTTAGCGGCCCCAAGGACGGAGGCTGGAGTGATGGTATGGGCAGGGCCATGCCAGAGGCTCGAAGGGTTTGACGTCTGGCCTCTTCCAGCTGCCAGCAGGGCGGCTGGCCATCACTGGCCTGAGGCCACAGGACAGAAGCTGGTGGGCAGGGCCGGGCCAGAGGCTCTACCGGGGAAACTTCCAGCCTCTTTCAGGTGCTGGCACATCCTTCTAGTCTTGGCCTCTGTGCTCACATGGCCAGTCCCCCATGTCTCAGTCTCTTCCCTTCTTCAAAGGACACTAGTCATGGAGTTTAGGGCCACCCTCATCTAGGAGGACCTCATCCTAACAAAGCACATCTGCAAATAAGGTCCCTGAGGTTCCAAGTGGACAGGAACTTGGAAGACACTATTCAACCTGACAGAGGGAGGAACACCCCTCACATACACACATACCCCTTGCACACACACACCCCTCACACACACACACACACACACACACCCCTCACACACATCCCTTATACATACAGCCCTTATACACACACCCCTCACACATACAGCATCACTCAAGCAGGTACTTAGCAGCTCTTTCCCTCCATCAGTCAGGTCTCTGCTCAAACATCACCTCCCTGGGTGCCAGTCGTACCCTCCCCACCAAACACCTGTCTCACACTCTGCCATCAACCCCAAACTCTGAGTCCTCACTGCACTCTCTGGGAGCCTTATCACGTGTGATTGATGAGATGTTGTTTCTGGAAAGGCCCTGACTAGAGGAGAACCTTGGGGTGAGGTTCTGACCTGGCAGGAGTGAAGGACGGGAGCAGGCAGTCCCAGTGCGGGGAAGGGGTCGCCAGGCCAGAACAAGCCCAGGCCCATCAACAGAAGGGATATGGGCCCTCACACATTCCTTCTCTGAACTCCTACTTCCAGGAGGCCCTGTTGCCTCCTCCAGCACTGGGGTTCCAGGAAGCTTCTGGGTTGGCCAAGCCACCTGCACACCCAGAAGCTTATTTGGTCCCCGAATGCATCAATGAGTCACATCGTCATTGCACTGACAGCCGGAGGCTGAGGATGCTGCCGGAGGACTGTGATTGTTCCCTGGACTAACCAATCACGAAATCCTCCCTAGCAGAGCCAACAGCAATGCCCCAGAGCCTGAGGCAGGAGTCCCAGACTGGAGAGAGAGGGTGCAAGGGGTGCTGAGGGGGTGCAGCAGCATAGGCGAGCTGCAGACATCTGAGTGGCTTTAGGATGTGGGAAACCCTGGGGCTTTCTGACCTGGGAGTGGAGGGGGCTTGATGTCTAGACCTGAACTTGCAGTCACATCTACTTCAACCTTTTCTTCCCTCTCCCCAGTGGCCTCCAGGCACCCCTCAGGTGCACTGGTGACAGCGGCCCAGAAAGGCAGGGCTCTGGGGCAGCAGCCTGGTCTGACTGTCCAGAGATGCCACTTGGCGCTGGGTAACTTTGGGCTGCAATGCCCATGCACTACACAACTGAATTTCCCACACAAGAGGAACATTCCTGGGCTCTCCCTGGTGGCACAATGGGTTAAAGTACCATACTATGAAGCTCTCCGAAGCTACCTTAGCTCAAGTTTGATCCCCCCTGCCAGGGAAGTTGACCCACATGGCATGGCAGAATTCTCCTGACCTGCCCACTGCTCCCCTCAGCAGTGTACTTCATCCATCTGCCTGTTCTGCTTCCCACTCTGTCTCTGGTGAATCTTCTCATCCACCATACCGCTGGCCTGTACCCCCATTTTATAAGCATAAATAAGTAAATATATATTAAAAAAAAAAAAGAGGAACATTCTGCTGAAGCACGTCCCTGCACGTCTGGCTAGCCTTCTACGGAACCACTGCTCCTGTCTATCTGTCTGAGGCTCTTTCTTCTAACAAGGTGCTCTAACAGGGCGTCCTCTATCTTTCTTGTTGTATCTGGCAGCCCTACACCGCCCCGGGAGATGTTTCAGCTTCTCTGAATTTAACCTTCCCCATCTCAAAATGGGGATTAGAGGAAGGTTAAGTACATTCATGCTTACTTATCTACTTACTCCGTTAGCATGGCACCTGGCACCCCTCAGGAATTATTCATGACCTGGCTGCTGGGTGGAGAATCACCTCCTCACAGCCCCACTCCGGCAGCCTCAATGGGGGAACAGGGAGTGTTGCCCTTATCTCTGCCGTTCAACCACCCCACGCTCCTGCGGACTGGTCCAAGGACACCCTCAGTCGATAGGGAAAGGGACCGCCCCACCCTCCGGCTCACCCGGGCTAATGCAGGGAGGGGCAGTTCTACCTGGTCGAGGTATTTCTTCCACACCGGTTCAGTGTTGTCAGCGACAAACTCGTTCCAGCCGTGGACCAGCCTGCGCTGTGTCACCGAGCACTCCGACAGCCCGTTCTGTAAGTCCACCTGGGCCGGACAGTGAAGCCGAGGCTGTGATGGGCCCAGAGCCACGTCACAGAACTTGGCCTCCATGAGCCCGCCACATACACAGTGGGCGAGGAAAGTGGGCTTCCCGCCACGAGTGCCAGGGCTTGCTCAAAGACCCCGGGCACCCGAGGGGGGGGTGAAAGCAACCCCAGCAGCAGCATCTCAGTCGCTGAGAGGTGGAAGCACCCCACCTGACCCTAAAGGGGTCAAAGACATGGGGAGAAGGTGGAATGGGAGAGGGGGTTTGATGGGAGCAGAGTTTCTGTTTTGCAAGATGGAAACAGTTCTGGAGATGGTTACAGAATCCTGTGTAAGCACCCTGCGCTGTTCAAGTATGCCCCTAAAAACAGTTAAAAGGGAAAACGGAAGCCCTTCTTGGCGGTTCAATGGGTTGAAGCACAGCACTACGAAGCCAGCCACAGCCACTGCAGCACGAATTTGATCCCTGGCCAGGGAGCTGACCCACATGGCGCAGCAGACCTCTCCTGACCTGCCTGCTGCTCCCCTCAGCAGTGTACTTTGTCCATCTGCCTGTTCTGCTCCCCGCTCTGTCTCTGGTGAAGCCTCTCACTGCCCCTGTACTTCAGGCCTGTACCCCAGTTCTGTGTGCATAAGTGAATAAATCTTTTTTTAAAAAAAGAGGAAAATGTTACATTGTATCCTTTACAATTAAAAAAAATAGAAAAAGGCCAGCAACAGCAACAGCTCAGCCATTCCGGGGTGGCAGTTAGGAATCAGGCCCTTAGTAAAATAACACTAAGTCCCGCTGCTGGAAAAGCCCAGCAGCCAAGCAGGCATTAGGGAGACCCTGTTAGTAGAGACAGAAAAGCCAACTGAGTTCTAGATTCTTTTGAGCAGAATAAGGAAACCACACTCACTTTCTGGGGAGGGAAAACATGGGTGACCAAATGTATGTCCTTCCTTTCTGCAGAAGCTCACAGCAGGACTTGAGTTGAAAGAGGCTTCTGGACTTTTCTCAAGAACAGCCTGCAACCCTGATTTCCAACTTGAAACTGTAGCCCACTCCCTTTGAGTTTCATATGCTTGCCCCAAGGGTGGTGGGTTAAGAGTGAATGTCCATCCACCTCATTCCATTTGCCCAGTCATCTAAGTAAAGACAATTAAAACCCAGGACAACCACCTGCAGCCTCAGGGAGAAGTTGTGGGCCAGGAGGGTGTCTTTGTTTTCTCTTACACTGGCCAGGAATTAAAATTCACTGGAGATACCTGTGAGAATGGGGTTTGGCTAGTTGGCAACACCATAGATTATAAATAAATAAGAGGAGGGTTCAGAGTCTGAACTTTAACGTCAAAACTCCTGGATTCAACCCTTGTCATGCTGCTTTCCAGCGTTGACCTTTGTTCCTGTGTGGGTTACCTGGTTCCCTGTCTTCAGTGTGGAGAAATGCCACTGTGTTGGGAAGGAGTGCCCTCCCCCAGGAGCCCCCTCCCCTTCCAGCAAGGCACCATGCCACCCAGAGTCTGAGGGCGCTCACACGGACAGCATTCCTAATGGTGATGATACAGATGCAAACGCCCAAGGTCTAAAGCAGTTTTCAGCTTTACACACTCATTAGTATGTGGCCTTCTTTTCCAGCTAAAACCCCTGCCACAGTTGGCCCCAAAAGCAAATTCAATTCTTACACAAAATGCTTGGGCCAAGTCTTCTCTGTGGCATTTGCTGGCTTCCTTGGGTGGCAGGGCTACCACCGCCTTCTCTTTTTCAATGGTCTTCAACTCACATTGTTCACCAATCTGGGGGGAGAAGCACAGTTGCTGTTAAACAGACTGATGTCTTATGCCAGTGCATCTTTTTAAGGCATAACATACACAGACAAAGCATATATCAAAAGCGACCAGCTTGAATGCTTATAAATTGATGCATATAACCAACCTCCACAACAATAAACACAACCAGCATCCCATGACCTCCTCATGCTCACCAACTGCCTAAAATTAATGGCCATTTTCATGTCACCATAGATTAGTTTTGTCAGGGTTTGGACCTTGTGTAAGTGGTAGCAAGCAATACACACTCATTTGTGTGTGCTATCTTTCATGCGATGTTGGGGAGATCCACACATGATGATGTTGGTAGCAGTGGTTTGCTAATTTTCATGACTGCATACTATTCCATCGAACAAGCACATCATGATTTACTTACCCATTCTACTGCTGATAGACACTGGGTTGTTTCTAGTCATTCACTATTGGTAATATGTTTTTTTAAAATTTTATAATAGTTTATTTTTACATATTTTTGTGCATTTTTCCATCTCAGTTGTAATCCCCATGGGCTTCCCATCACCAAATCACTCATGTGCCATCACCATAGTCCAGTGCATTTGCCTCCCCCACACTGTTTTTGACCCTATTCCCCACTCCACCCCCACAAAATGTCTCTGTTCATCATTATCATTATTTCCTCACCTGTTCCTTTAAATTCCTGCTATCAGAGAAACCATCTGATATTTTTCCTTTTCTGTCTGGCTTGTTAATATATTTGTTTTTAAAGCAAACATTTAATACAACTGGAACCCACAACTGGAACATGGCAGAGCCAGTTCACACTCGACACATTTAGAACCTTGTGCCCTGAATTTCCCAATTCTCAGTCAAGTGCACGCTATACCTATTCTATGAGATGTTGGAAATAACCCAAACAGGGGGAAGCCAGCTAGTTCCACATGTCTGCTATAACTAGGAAAGGGCTGTAGGAAACACTTGAGGATGTGAAACAACGTTAACACTGAGGAGATCTCAGAATCAGGAAGGCACTAGGTAACTGCAAATTTGTTCTTAGTATTTCAATACCCAGGACATGATAATGATCTTTTCCTTTTTCACCCGGGGTTTGGGCACTAGGAAGAAAGGCAGTGACTAAGCACTTCCTTCATCTGGAATAGAGATGGAAAATTCCTCTTTTCCTTCTTCCCAGCTCCTCCCCCCTTCACATGATCTCCCAAAGGCTGGGTTTGGTCCATAGGCTGCGCCACCTCCTGAGGCTGCTTCTCACGTGTGCCAGGCCTGGAAGCTGGCAGACATGGATAGATTATACCTATCACCCACTGAGCCCCTGTTCTTTGGGTACATGGTAACTAAGTCAACTCCGTAAGTCAGCAACTCCTTATTTGCTGCATGAGACTCACCTTTCTCCCCATTTAAAAATTTCTCCCTCTATATTTTACATCATTATTCATTTTTACACAATCTGCTTTCTTCTCTCAGGGGTAGTCCCCACAAAATTTCCATCACCTAGTCACCTGTGCACCATCACCATAGATGAAACTTTATTTTTCTTAAAGATTTAAGTTTTATTTATGCATTTAAGAACTGGAGTATAGGCCAGAGGTGGGGGGGAGGGGTGAGAGGATTCATCAGAGACAGTAGGGAGCAGAATAGGTGGATCTACTAAAATATACTGCTGAGGGAAGCAGGTGGAGAGACAGGAGAGGTCTGTTTTGCCATGTGGGTCACCTCCCTGGCCCAGGATCAAACATGTACTGCAGTGACTATGGACAGCTTCATTGACACATGCTATGCAACTTCTGTTGACTGGCAAATTTCAGATGGAAGGAAAAAGCTCTGAAAAATCAGAATTTCCATTGCTAACTTATGTTATAACCTCCCTTTTTTGTATAATCATAATATCACCAATCATAATATCAAAAAACATTCCAAGCAACCATAAATTGGCTATCTGGCTGGGGGCAAAGTACAAGGCAGGACAGGAAATTCCTCTGTATCTAGAGACAAAAGGCAAGCTCCAGGAGAGATAAGACCCCCCTGAGCATCAAGACTCCTGGGAAGCTCCCTTCGTCTTTTGAAACAAAAAGCAAACCTCTGATAAAACTCCCAGGGTATAAGGACTCATGAACCATTTCCTAACATATTGACACAGGGTTTGCTTAATGCATGACTGTGGCTTCCTCTTAATTTACCCTTTTCTTAAACAATCACTAACTACTCCCTGCTAGTCTTAATTAATCTTTTCCTAAAACAAACACTAGCTACTCTCTGCTAGCCTTAAGTTAGCCGTTAGCTTTTCTGTAGACAATCACTGATGACTCTGCTAACACAATTTATGCCTTCCCTAGGACCCTTAAATCCTTTGCTAACAGCTCATCCTTTCCCAGACCCCTTATCTTTTGAAGTCATAGTTAAACATCCGTATACATGAAAGTTATCACATATGTGTATAGTGTAGTATGCCATAAAATATCAGGAGGAGGATGCATTGTTTCCCTCTTCCTTTAGAACTTTTATGCTGATTTCTTATTAACTTATCTGATGCATTAGTGTAACTAACTACTTGCTAAATCGTATAAATAAAGACATGCTGGAAAATTAGCAGGAAGATTTATACCCCACTCTGACTCCCATGTCTTCCTCATGCCTGCTCCCCTTTCTCTCTTTTTGGAATCTCCACTTGCCGGACACTTTCCCACCAAAAGGCCCTACCCTGCCTTGTCCTCGTTGGGGCCGGTCCTCAGCATTTCATAGTGCTGACACATAACCTGTTGTGCCACCAGGGAGGCCCATTTCTAAGGGAGATGTGAGTCATTGCATGATATGGATGTATTTTCTTTTTCCAGAGCTGTCCACATAAAATTGTACCAAATAAAAGTTTAATTCTTGCTCACCCCACAGAAGGAGGCAGCCCTGGGCCTTAGGACTTGCCATTTCTTTCTGGCCAGTGATCACACCTAACTCCTATTTTATACAGCATCAGGAGGAACCATGAAACACAAATCCAGTCACACCTCTCCACCTGCCTCTCACACCCACAGCCCATGCTTGAAATCATTGTGCTGATTGTGGTTGCTCTCAGAATAAAGACCCACACTGTGCTTTAAAGCGGGGTTCTCCACCAGGCCTCTTGTCTCTGGGACACTTCAGCAATGTCTGGGAACTCCTGTGGTTGTCAGGCTGGGGTGTGTGTGGTGTGGGGAGAGGTCAGAGATGCCTCCAAGCCCCCTACCAAGTATAGGCAGCCCTGTCCATCGCACCCCTGTAACAAAGAGCAGTGAGGCACAAATGTCACTGGGGCCAAAGGGGAGAATCATCACTCTGCCTCAGTGTCTCCCCAGAACCAGATTAGGGAACTTCCCTACCCTACTCTAATCCCATGAGGACTTCATCACAATGACTGCCACAGTTATGCACAGCTAGAGGGGAAAAAGGTAAGGGTCACAGTCACCCAGGAAGCCTCAGAAAGGTCTGGTTAGGGAGGTGACATTTGAGGTAAACAAGCCCCACTCAGAGCAAAGCTTCCTTTTTGCCAAGACTTCCGAAGCCGTCGTCCCAAGGCTTGTATCTAGGGGTCACCTAGTGACACCTTAGTCTAGAGGCTCTCACAGTGTGGTCCTCAGCCCTATAGCATCTGGGACATGCTAGAAATATAGTTTCTCATCCCCCCAATGGAGAGACTCTGGTTGAGGTTGGGCTCTGCAGTCTTTGTTCTCCAGAGGAGTCTGATGTACTTGGGTCTTGTAAAATCACAGCTGCCCTAGCTGGGGAGTGGGGCAGCCCCCAGAAGTCTTAAAGCCCCTGGTGGTGCTTGTATGCAGCAGGAGCTGAGCTGAGGAGGCCTGGCTGGCAAGCACTAGAAGAAACTGGTTGATGTTAGTGATGATCCCAGAGAAAGAACTTGCCACATGGAGTGCCAAACTAGACCCCCCCCCTTGGGGGAAAGACCGATACTTTCATGACACAGAGATGATCCTGGCTGCTTTCTGCAAGAAGCACCACAGGCAAAGCTGAAGATGGAAATCCCTGGGGGCTACTGGGGGCTGGGGGAGGGTATCTACAGCTCTGAATGCTGAAGAATTTCCCAAGTAAATGAAGAGTTCTTACTCTGAAAAAGAGAAACGCTCAGGTTTTCAAAAGACGAGGGACTAAGCATTCACAGGAAGCACATGATGAATGAAACACAGGAGGAGACAGACCCACGCACAATCAGCGGTGAGCAGGGACGCGATGCCGGAGCACACGCTCCACCCAGCTGAGAGGCAACGTCGGGTTGACAAAGGCTGTCACGCACAGTGCTGAGAGCTACAGTGCCAGGGAGGGGTGTCAGGGCGGTGCATCGGGACGAGCCCTAGGGGGGTAATTTGGCAGCATCAAAGCTGAAAGGGACTTTGATGGTCACTTTTTATTTTTTAAGATTTATTTATTTATGCATACAGAACTAGGGTCCAGGCCAGAGGTGCAGGGGCGGTGAGAGGCTTCACCAGAGACAGTGGGGAGCAGAACAGGCAGATAGACAAGTACACTGCTGAGGGGAGCAGCGGGAGAGTCAGGAGAGGTCTGCCGCGCCATGTGGTCACCTCCGGGCAGGAATCGAACTCATGCGGAAGTGGCTTTAGCTTCTCAGTGCTGTGCTGTAAACCCGCTGCGCCACCAGGGAGGGCCCTGATGGTCATTTCTTTTTCAGGAATACTTGCTGAAGATGAGCACCGCTTCCAAGTCACCCAGTGCAGTGTTATTTATAAAAGCCAGCCTTGGGACACCACACAGGTGCCCACAAATGAAGAACTTGTCACACAGCATATCGTGCTGCCGTGATGTGGAAACCCACACTACCAGTAAAAAAAAAAGGCATGCAAGGTTTTTATTTACCTGTATGGGAAATGTTCAATAAAACTGAAGCATGTGCCCAGATCTGAGCGTGTCCTGGAATGCACTTTCATACCTGCAGGGCCGAGTACACCTGAGCACTCATTCCTCCACCAACACATAACGCAAACCTCACC